GCTCCAAGGAGGTGGCCACCGCCATCCGCGGCGCCATCATACTGGCCAAGCTGTCGGTGATTCCGGTGAGGAGGGGTTACTGGGGGAACAAGATCGGAAAGCCACATACCGTGCCTTGCAAGGTCACCGGGAAATGTGGGTCCGTCACCGTGAGGATGGTCCCTGCTCCACGTGGGTCCGGTATTGTGGCGGCCCGCGTGCCGAAGAAGGTGCTCCAGTTTGCTGGTATTGAGGATGTTTTCACCTCCTCCCGTGGATCCACCAAGACTTTGGGGAACTTTGTCAAGGTCTGATTTTAATTTTTTTCGTGCCTTGAGTTTTTTTTTTTTATTTTATGTTTGAGTAATTTAACTATTGATAACTTCTATAACACTAGTGTTGTTGTCTAGGTTGTAGCTGATGTAGTTTATTGTTTCACTGCATTAGTTTTATTGCCTTTTGATGACATTTAACAGCTCTTCCCTTGAGTAAGCATTGTGGAATTTTTCTAACAGATGATAATTTAGTTAACCAAAGAAAGCAGGTGAAATGCTATTTATTACTCTGAATGCTATGTGTGTGATATATGATGTTATATCATGTGTATTCTAGTTGTATTTGTCTGAATTGAATTGTGAATTCATGACTTTTTATTCATTGCAAATCTGCCTGTTGCTATTCTCATGTATGAATTCCTATTGTGTAATTGGATTTGTCCTGTTAAGACTGGTATGGTTATGGCTTTCTAGGTGGGTTGATTTGATTCTTGCTGGAATGTAGTAAATCGTATTTTCGCGTAATGCTCTGAATATCTGATATAAGAGCTAGAAATCCTTGAATTCTTGATCTCTTTTGGTCACTTTGATTAGCTTCAACGAGAGCTTATCGAGGAATAATAAGTTGACTATGACTCTGAAGTCTTCCTGTGTAGTTCAATGATATTCGAAAATCGTACGAACATTTATAAAGTGTGGCTGATCCTGTTTTCTAGGTGTATTGATTTGATTCTTGCTCGAATGTGATAAATGGTATGCTCGCTTAAAATGGTTAATGGCTGCTCTGATCTTATGTAAGAGCTAGAAATCTTTGAATTGTTAATCTCTTTCGGTCTCTATGGTTAGCTTCAATGAGCTTATCAGAGAATACCTAGTTTACCTATGACTCTCAATTCTTCCTGTTTGATTGATTGATATTCGAAAATCGTACGAACGTTGATAAACTGTGGCTGATCTTGTTTCTGCATTACAAGTCGTCGCATGAACAAATTTATCCACCAGTTACTAATCCAACCTTTTTTATTATTTAGGCAACTTTTGATTGCTTGTTGAAGACCTATGGCTTCTTAACTCCGGACTTCTGGAGAGAGACTCGTTTCACGAAATCCCCATTCCAAGAATACACTGATCTTTTGGCAATGCCCACAGCCAAGACTGTCCAAATAACCGAGGAAACTGAAGCATGATTGAGTTATGTTCTGTTTGGTTTGTTGTCTTGTGATGGATAAACTATACTATCCTGAATTTTGTTTTTCGACTATTGGATGCTGTGTTGAATCCTATTTCATTTGCATACTTTCAGCTTGTCTTGGATTAAATTGAACGGTTTCCTTTATGTTTCCGATGCAGAGTTCTTTTTGTTGCCTCTGTGTGTGTGTGTGTGTGTGTGTTTGTGTGTGTTTTTCGCTACTTGACTCTTAATCATCTAATGGTAGTTGATTAAACCAAATCCATCATCTAAATTTGTTAAAAAGCTGATATTCTTTTTCATGCAGCTTGGCTATATCCGTTTTTGATAGCTCATTTGGGCCAATAAAGGGCCATTGAGAGAAAGTTACATAATGTAAGCCTCCTGTTTAACATCTCTCAGTTTAACACTTCAACAATTCTCATGTATTAACAGCTGTTGGAGAAAATTTTACTTCATGTCATATCTCTATAAAATTTATTTATCATTATCTCTTTTGTTTCTTAATATTGTCATGTAAAGTTGTTATTCATGGTGAGTTGTTCACGAACACAGTTTGGTTCGACTCGCTTGTTTAATTAAATGAGCCGAGCTCAAGCAACTAATAACTTGTTTATTAAACGACACGAATTGAGCTTATTTGCGAACACCTTGTTATTTTTCTACAAGTTTCAGACGGACAAATAGAGCATGTTCGCGAACGCACAAATCATATTCGTAAACAACTTGTTTCTAATTTTAATTTGTCAAAACTAAGGGTGTTTTGAACTTCCATCTTTTTTCACTTCTATAATTATTCACAATGCGGCCTAACAATTAGATTAATCGATTCTATCATACATTATTCTAATAAAATGTTTATTTGTACGGTAAAATATCATAACTTTATACTCCCTTCTATTTTTTTTAAATGTCATTGTAGCTTTATCAACTATTTGCTAAATAAATGTCGTTTTGGATATTTTGTACATATTTTTTTCATTATTACACTCATTTAGCTAATAAATACATCACGTTTTTTCATAATCATTCTTCATCTTTTTTCAAAATATTCATCTCTATCTTCATTAAATAAAGTTATTATTGACAAAAAAAATTGTCTTAATATATGTGCAACATTCCAAAACTACATCTATAGGTAGTATATATTTGACATTTGAGACATAAATGAAGTACTATCACCGCATCACATGGACTTAATAAATATTACCTTAAAGTTAGACCCTTTTAGCTAAACTTCCACGTGTCTTTCTCAAGATTTTCCTTTTTTTTTTTCCCCCTCAATTTTGCCCTCTTTTTACCCAACAACTCTGCAATAGAATAGGTGCACGGTAACAAATTAAATAAAAGATATATATATATATATATATATAATATAACAATAAAAAAATAAAAAAAATGTCCTATTTTCGAATACTACGCAGGCACAAGTACCCGTAACGAAAAAACTTGCCAAAAGGAACCATTTTCAGAATTATGTTTTTAGTTTTTTTCAAAACCTATATTCTATTATCAAATTTACAGCCCAAATTTGCATTTTTCTAATGTAATATACACTGCCACATAAGGATATAACTACTTTATTTAACATAACAAGTGATCAAAAGAAGGGAGATTCTGGGTCCCGTTACGAAACTCTTTTGTCGGGATTCGTAACGGTTAGATCAACTATCAACGATAGTTACATAATAATCTAACGGTTACAATTCTCGATGAAATAGTTCCGTATCGGGACTATACAAATTCCCTAAAAACTAATGCATATATACATTGATTTTGTCTTCTAGCTTAGAGAAGAAAATAAAATAAAATGTGGGTCAAATTTCTCTCCTTCTTAAATTTTCCTTTTTTTTTTTTTTCCCTTAGTAAATATTTTGTCCCCATCTGCACCAGATTCTTAATGGGTTTTATTGTGAGCTAAGAGACTTTGCAGCCTGGGTTTTGGGTCTTTTTTGTTTCTCTTGCAAGCTCTCAAGGGTGTTCAAGCAAGCACCAATGGCTGCATGGGTGCTCAAATCTCACTAAAAATATCATCTTGCTATCTGGGTTTGTACTATTTCTCCTGGTAAGTCTGTTTTTCTCTTCATTTTTCACTTTAATCTCTTAATTTTCCATGTATTTTGCTTTGATCTGATCTGGGTTCTGTTCGAAGGCCCATAAAAATGCAATCTTTATTACATCTTTCCATCTGTACATGCGTTCTTGATTTTGTCGGTATGGTTTTGGTCATATTTTCTTGTCTCATTTTGTAGAATCAAAGGTGCAATTTACATGCAAAAGCTTCTGGGGTTTAGGATTTTGTTTGCTGTAACTAATTTAAGGCCCTGTTTGGGTCGAACTCTTGTACTTTGGGGAAGTCGATCTGTTTATTATTTCGAGAATTTATTTGTTGGTATTGTTTTGGTTATATTTTATTGTTTCATTTGTAGAATCACAGGTGCAATTACATGCAAAAGCTTCTTCTGAGCTTTAGGATTTTGTTTGCTGTAACTAATTTAGGGCCCTGTTTGGCTCGATTTCTTGGTTGGGAAGTCGATTTTTTTTTTTTTTTTTCGATAAATTTTTTTTTTTGTTGGTATGGTTTTGGTTATGTTTTTTTGTTTCATTTGTAGAACCAAAGGTGCAATTACATGCAAAAGCTTCTTCTGGGCTTTAGGATTTCCTTTGCTGCAACTAATTTAAGGGCCTGTTTGGATTAATTTCTTGGTTTGGGGAAGTCGATTTTTCTGTTCCCCAGAATTTATTTGGTGGGGATTCAATTCATAGAAACAAAAGTAATAAAATAATTAGAATGGGATCTCAAGGTGGTAGTGATAGCAATGGTGTGACCCAGACCCAGACCCAAACCCACGACCTGTTATCCAACCCGCTTGCCCGGCAAGGATCTTTATACGGGCTTACTTTCGATGAGGTACAAAACCAGCTGGGTGACTTGGGTAAGCCTCTTGCCACAATGAACCTTGACGAGCTTCTGAAAACCGTGTGGACAGTTGAGGCCGGCAACCAATCAACAAACCTGAACCCGAACTTGAACCCGAACCCGGATCCGAATCTTAGTCTGCCGACTGATCTGAGCAAGAAAACGGTCGATGAGGTGTGGCAGGACATCCAGCAGCAGCAGCAGCAGGGGCAAGAGAGTAATTTCCTCGACCGGAAGGCGACACTTGGTGAGATGACATTGGAGGATTTTCTTGTGAAAGCTGGCGTGGTGTCTCAGTCGAGATGGAATCCGAGCCTGATGACTCAGCAGCAGCAGCAGGCTCAATGGATGATGAACTATCAGCCGGCGGTTTTCGTGCCGGGTCATCATATTGTGGACGGTCAAAGCTACTCGGAAAGTCAAATGATGATGTCATCATCGTCACCTTTGATGGGTGGTGCTTTGTCCGACACTCAGACACCTGGCAGGAAACGAGTGGCTCCCGATGATATTGCTGAAAAGAGTGTCGAGAGGAGGAAGAAGAGGATGATTAAGAATCGGGAATCTGCCGCTAGATCGAGAGCGAGGAAGCAGGTGATTTTTTTTTTTTCTTTTTTAATTTATTGTCCTGATTTTAAATGTAAATGTAATGTGTGATAATGTTTGGGTTTATTGTATTTTTTGTAGGCTTACACGCACGAGCTAGAAAACAAGGTTACTCGTCTGGAGGAGGAGAATGAGAGGCTCAAGAAACAAAAGGTTTTAATTTGTTATGTGAATTTGGCATTTTTTTTTCATTTACTTAACTTCTATTTTTTTTTTGTCATTGCATTGTATTGTTTTTAATTTCTGTATTCAAACATCCCACATAAACAAATAAGAGTTGAGCTCTTGTGCTTCAAATTTTGTATTCCATCGAATGCCATGAACAAATCCTTCGACAGCGCTTTTATATTTTTCGGCTGATCGTATTGGAGATGGAATAAAGAATGAATTGGATGATTTTGATTACTGAATTAGTGCTTGTACAATGAATTACAGAAAGAATTCAACAGCGTGTATTTTTTTTAATAAATTTTACGGAACTCATTTTCCATTGCGTTTTTTTTTTTTTTTTTCGTTTTTGAAATTTCAGGAATTGGAGAAAATGTTGCCTAGTAATCCACCACCCGAGCCAAAGTTCCGACTGCGTAGAACGAGCTCGGCCCCTATGTAACAGGAGAATGTTTCGTAGATTCCCATTTCTTGATTTTGTTCGACTTTTACTGTACTTGTTATGCGGCTCTAGTTGAGAA